AACGAAGCTCGCGACTATTTAAAGATGAGTGGCGTCTGCTACATTTCGGGCATCTTCAATGAGAAAATTGCGGCCAACGAAGCTCGCGACTATTTAAAGATGAGTGGCGTCTGCTACATTTCGGACATCTTCAATGAGAAAATTGCGGCCAACGAAGCTCGCGACTATTTAAAGATGAGTGGCGTCTGCTACATTTCGGACATCTTCAATGAGAAAATTGCGGCCAACGAAGCTCGCGACTATTTAAAGATGAGTGGCGTCTGCTACATTTCGGGCATCTTCAATGAGAAAATTGCGGCCAACGAAGCTCGCGACTATTTAAAGATGAGTGGCGTCTGCTACATTTCGGACATCTTCAATGAGAAAATTGCGGCCAATGAAGCTCGCGACTATTTAAAGATGAGTGGCGTCTGCTACATTTCGGACATCTTCAATGAGAAAATTGCGGCCAACGAAGCTCGCGACTATTTAAAGATGAGTGGCGTCTGCTACATTTCGGGCGTCTTCAATGAGAAAATTGCGGCCAATGAAGCTCGCGACCATTTAAAGATGAGTGGCGTCTGCTACATTTCGGACATCTTCAATGAGAAAATTGCGGCCAACGAAGCTCGCGACCATTTAAAGATGAGTGGCGTCTGCTACATTTCGGACATCTTCAATGAGAAAATTGCGGCCAACGAAGCTCGCGACTATTTAAAGATGAGTGGCGTCTGCTACATTTCGGGCATCTTCAATGAGAAAATTGCGGCCAACGAAGCTCGCGACTATTTAAAGATGAGTGGCGTCTGCTACATTTCGGACATCTTCAATGAGAAAATTGCGGCCAATGAAGCTCGCGACTATTTAAAGATGAGTGGCGTCTGCTACATTTCGGACATCTTCAATGAGAAAATTGCGGCCAACGAAGCTCGCGACTATTTAAAGATGAGTGGCGTCTGCTACATTTCGGACATCTTCAATGAGAAAATTGCGGCCAACGAAGCTCGCGACTATTTAAAGATGAGTGGCGTCTGCTACATTTCGGGCATCTTCAATGAGAAAATTGCGGCCAACGAAGCTCGCGACTATTTAAAGATGAGTGGCGTCTGCTACATTTCGGACATCTTCAATGAGAAAATTGCGGCCAACGAAGCTCGCGACTATTTAAAGATGAGTGGCGTCTGCTACATTTCGGACATCTTCAATGAGAAAATTGCGGCCAACGAAGCTCGCGACTATTTAAAGATGAGTGGCGTCTGCTACATTTCGGGCATCTTCAATGAGAAAATTGCGGCCAACGAAGCTCGCGACTATTTAAAGATGAGTGGCGTCTGCTACATTTCGGACATCTTCAATGAGAAAATTGCGGCCAATGAAGCTCGCGACTATTTAAAGATGAGTGGCGTCTGCTACATTTCGGACATCTTCAATGAGAAAATTGCGGCCAACGAAGCTCGCGACTATTTAAAGATGAGTGGCGTCTGCTACATTTCGGGCGTCTTCAATGAGAAAATTGCGGCCAATGAAGCTCGCGACCATTTAAAGATGAGTGGCGTCTGCTACATTTCGGACATCTTCAATGAGAAAATTGCGGCCAACGAAGCTCGCGACCATTTAAAGATGAGTGGCGTCTGCTACATTTCGGACATCTTCAATGAGAAAATTGCGGCCAACGAAGCTCGCGACTATTTAAAGATGAGTGGCGTCTGCTACATTTCGGACATCTTCAATGAGAAAATTGGGGCCAACGAAGTTCGCGACTATTTAAAGATGAGTGGTGTCTGCTACATTTCGGGCATCTTCAATGAGAAAATTGCGGCCAACGAAGCTCGCGACTATTTAAAGATGAGTGGCGTCTGCTACATTTCGGGCGTCTTCAATGAGAAAATTGCGGCCAACGAAGCTCGCGACTATTTAAAGATGAGTGGCGTCTGCTACATTTCGGGCATCTTCAATGAGAAAATTGCGGCCAACGAAGCTCGCGACTATTTAAAGATGAGTGGCGTCTGCTACATGAAAATGCCACAACTTCTCATTGCAGTTTCGTTTTCTTACAAATAATGTATGTCTGTGCTTGTCACACTAAAACAGCGAATACCAAACATTGCTCCATGAACATATCGAACCATATAGTCTCCCATATAGGGGGCTATGGTAGAATGCACGGCATGGGTTTTCACCAACTGCATAACCACAAAATAACATGTTGGTAAAAAAAAAAAGATTTACATGTATGTTTGAACAGCGGCAAGTTAGTCAGACTCAATGGGCGACTTGTCTTCCAGCTGTAGATTATAAACTTAGCCAGAACAGCACAACCGCTGGCCTGGGGTTTTAACGTGCACCACACAGTAGTGATACACGACCGCACACTAGTACGATACACATGCAGATCGGAGGAACGGGCAGAGGGAAGAGAGAGGGAAGAGAGTTAACAAAGGATCCCTGGGTTCTGCAGCGCGACCTTTCCCTCCACGTGCTCCGAGCTAGTGTGCGCAAGCCCAGTCGGCCACCGACTCCCCTGCCCCCCCCCCCCTTTCCCCTTTTCATTTTTGATAATGCACTTATTATTACAAGATTAGAACAATTATTTGGTTAGAACGCCGCCGTCTTGGCCGCGACAGAAGGCAAACACATTTTCACAATGCGTTTCAAAACCGTATCATGACCTTGGTATTGTATCTCATTTACGAATTACACACAGTACATATTGATATACTTATTTCTTTTCACCACGCAGCGATTTAAACAGGACTGCATCGCGGTCCATTGCTCGGAGCCCGACATTTCAATGTGTTCAAGCCGAGACTGCGGTAGAAGCTACGTCCTTGTTGGATCAGTCACATGCCTCTCTTTCGCACGTCCTCACGCTCCAAGTCAGACGCACGCGGGGAGAGCCGGATCAGGTGGTAAGAGGGAGGCGGCTGATTGGTCCGGCGGGCACGTAGCTCCCACCGTAGCCTCAACTTGAGGGTGAACGGAGTTTAGTGTATGCAAAGCTATCAACGAAGCGGATCCATGCGGATTTTCCCTTTTCAGCAACCATTTTGTGATGATGCGTTCGAGACCTCCAAATTGCATGCCGGCCGAGCAGAAAAAAGAACCTCCACACATTTGTTTTTCCATCGGATTCCACCTTAAGGCATTTGAGAATACAAATCCAGTTTGGGTGTGCTTCAATGCTTTCACCAATTCTCTCTCCCTTTCCCCCCCCCCCCCTCCCTTACTCCATGAATGAAGTTGAACAGGCGGTTACCAGGTCACAAAAGAACTGATTTACTTTTCTTAGAGGACGAAAGCATAAACTCTCCGTGCGGGCATTTAAGGGTGAGATAACTAAAGTAAAATGAAATGAAATGAAACCATAGGTCAGAGCATAGCCAACGCTACGAGCTCATGGCTCCAATCAAGCAACACTAAGAGCGCAGTGTCACAGTGTCACGGCGATAATCGTGCTTCTGTGTTATATGTTTTGTATGAAATAGGACTCCGCGTTTGTAAATATATCAGCTTGAACCATAGAAATAACTAGAACACAAAGAAAGAAAGGACATTTACAAGTATGTACAAGCTCAACTCTTAACCGTTATTCGACCTGTGTTTTCGAATTTCTCCGAATTTCGCGAGAATTTCTCGCGAGAATCAAAGGGTGTTTTTCGGAGTTTATTATTTGCCGAGTATTCGGAGTTTATTTTTGTTATATTCCCGATTCTCCGAAGTAGGGAGTTTATTTCTGCTATGTTTCCAAATTGTCAAGATTGAATATAAAAAAACATATATGAACCGGCGGGTATAACCCTGCCCTAGCTTTATAAGAACGCACCACATGACATTGGCGCCTTTGCCATTAGTATAATACTAACTGTGCCACGACAAAACTTGGAAAAACTCATTAAATAATTCAACTCCTAGGCGTAGTCAATGGAAAGCAATTTCCCCTTTCATGCTATTCTTCCGCTCTTCCCTGTGCGGCTGCGCGGGTGGACCGGTGAGACAGAAGCCTCAGCTGTTCCTCCCATGAAATTTAAGAGCTCAAGGCTTTCACGGCTATGAAATCGCAACCCTACCTTTTCCTAAGAAGTTCTATCTGGGAACCAAAGCAGTGCTTCGAGTCGTGACGCAGAATTATAATATATGCGGTTCTCCCGAACGAACCCTGCGGGATAGTTGGTGAATCTTCTCTGGTCAATATACCACGAGATTTTTAAGGAATCTGGGGAGGCCTTTCCAGATGACCCTTGAACCTGCGTTCTGAGGAAACCTATTTGTAGAAAACGCCCTTTGTTTGCTTCTTTTTGGCGATCGTGACCTCCTAATTCGGAGTTTTTCCGGATATATCCGAATTGAAGAAAATTTTACCGGCGAGTGTTGTTCGGATTTTATCGGGTTTACCCAAAAACACGGAACCCTATGTATGATATAACACTGAAAAAAAAAAAAAAAAAACGCAGTGAATGTTTTGTGATTTTTTACTTTATGTTTTTGTGTCTGTCTCTGCGTCTCCTTTCCTTTGACTACACTCACATTTAAAATAAATAGTATAGTTCGTCCTGAAGCACCAAATACCAAGTTAAAGGGCAAGGCCCTCGTATGATGTCATTGTTGAATGGATGGATGCCTTTCAATCGGGCGGCGGCTTACGCCATCTAGCCAGTGTTTTTGTTCTTCAATAGATCACTGACCCGCGCCAAGCGGCCAACACACGAGCTGGCCAACACACGAGCTCGACGAGAGCCGCCTCACGGCTAAAGAGGCGTCCGCATTGGTGACGCTATACATGCCAACGTCGCGCTTGTTGTGATATGCTGCAAGACGCTCTGGCGGCAATGCTGACGTGGTATGCGGCGTCGCGTGGATTCACTAGAGATAACGGTTTTTTTGTTCTGTGTTCTGTTTTTTTCTTTCTTTGGGGGGGAATGCCGGCTTTGGGTTTCTAGGATGTACTGATGAAGGTCGCTGGGGATTCTTTTATGCACTAGGGTTGTACAGCCATGCGAGAAATAAGACGTCGCTGCACTTACCTTGGCCTGCGCCCAATCGAAAGCCGTGGTCACGTGCGTCTTCTTTCCATAGTCCCTCTTCAGGGCGTTGGTCAGGTTGTCTCTCATCTCGGACATGATCTGCGAGAGAACACGTCGTCGTATGCAACTCCGGCGGCCCGCCCTACTCAATCTGGTATTCGACGAGTCAATTAACCTCGGCGTCTTTGTGGCGCGTTCATACGCGGCGCGTTACGCGGCAGATAATGCTGTCGCGCTGCCATCCTTCGTGCTTTCTCTGACCGAAACGACGCGGCCGTGGTGGCTGATATGCATCGTTTCGCCCTTTTCCGGAACGACTCCGCGAACGCTTTCTGAAAGCGTTATCTCGGGTGGAGCGTATACCGACCGTTCAGCCTATTCACTCGTTGGGCCATCATTTTGTAGCCGTGCCGTACTTTGTATAGTCACCCGCTACCTGGACAGAAAGCCCGTATTCATGCGATGGAGTCGGTGGTCAAAGACGACGTCATCATGACGCGCGTCAGCAGGCACGCTGACGATGCGATGGTCATTGGCCAGCGCACATCGTGTTTCACTGCAGTTCATGGCAGCTTAAAGAAGCAGGGTGGGGCTTATCCTTTTTGCGTTTCTTACTTTGTGATTCGTTCTCGGGCGATCTTATCTGCTGATGCCACATTCTCATTGACTGCGGAGGGATAATGAGATGATTGTAACTCGCCACGCCCGGCGTTTCTTAGGCAGTCAGTGGCGATAAAGTGCTTTGCGGGAAAGTATACACTCCAGATTTATTACAGTGCAGGCTGTTGGATCCTGTTGTAACAAATGGAATCACGCTAAACGTTCAGCGCGAAACGATTAACGGTAAAATTGTCGTAAAATTCTAGCTATGCTGTCCAAGCGGGTTCCAAACGCTTTCGCAAAACGCCCGGAGCCTCAAACATCGGTTATTAAGGCGAAAGCCTTATAAGTCCCATTACGCGAAAAGGCGGCGTCGGCGTTGTGCCCGAAAGATGGCCATAAAGATACCTCATCAAGCCCGCGCCGCTCAAGGTCAAAGCGGACTCGCCTTATCTATGAAGCACAAGGGAAAGCACAGTAACGCAGATGCACCGTCACGGAAGCCGCGAGGCCGGCGGGGAACCGCGTCTGCGCACGTGGGGGAGCCTGATGTCACCGCCGGAGCGCCATGCGCAAAAGTAAGATGTGGCACGCTGCTTGTAGGAATGCGCTGCGTGTAGGAATGCTTGCGCACTCCTACACGTAAGCAATCTTAAATGTCTTCGGCGCGCTTTTTTTCCCGCATCTTATCGGTCGGCCTTTTTTTATGAAAACCACCAATACCTCACTTTCCCCACAAAACGCGTTAAAATTTGTTAAAAATTGAGATAAAAGAAATTAATAATTTCTTTTACCTCAAATCTTAGCTCTTCTCGATTCGTTATGCGAAATATTGTCAAATTTAATTATTTTATAATTAGAGTTGCGGTACGGTTTCCGCTAAACCGTACCGTAATTCGGTACGGTTTAGCGGAAACCGCTAAACCGTACCGAAGCACGCACTCCCCCACGCTTGGAAAACCCTCATTCTCAAATACATATTTGTTATTCTGTGTAAGAGCTATAAAAAAGCAGATGCAGTTCGTATGCGTTCTGCAAAATAATCTACACGAGTGCTCCAGGGGAGATGTAGATTAAAAAAGAGAGCCGGACATTTTACCGATAAAGCATACACCACTGGAGTACATTTACAATTTTGACAATCAGACAATGGAGAACCAGAGGAGTAGTAAGTTTTAATCTTTCGTGAAAATTGTGGAAGCACAATAATTAAGTTTTGTCTATGTTAACAAATATATTATGGCTTTCATATCATTATATCAGCTTGTACATATCTGTCTGAAGTGAAAAGACCGTTTCGATTTCGTCATTTTCAGTCAATAACATAGACGTATCCTCGGCCTAGACGTGAAGAGAAGTTCAAATTACCAATTTCATTTACATAAATATTAAACAGTAGCGCAACTAGTATATATCCGCCGTAGTTAACGTCACCAATTTTTTACAAGTTGATTCTGTTTGGATAAATAGTTCGTGAAATATTCTAAAAATGGACATCTGAAGCCAAAAAATGCTCTAATTCATATAGAAGTAACCCGTGATCAATTGAAACAAACACCCAGAAATAGTGATAGCACAAAGTTGTTTTTAGCAATATTTTTATAAATATGGTCTGATCCTCTAGCAATGTGATTGTTTCTCCACCCTTACGAAAATCGTACTGGGAATGACACAGCAAATATGCTTCGTCCAAAATGAGGACATTGACTAAAAAGCTAACCTTTTTTTAATGATTATGGATATTATCGGCAAAAGAAAAATCGGCCTATAATTTAACATATATTTTTACTTCCTTTTTTTTATACATCACAAAAGCTATTTTGAGGCATGTGTAGCTTTAAAAATGCTATCCCTCTTTATTAAATTAGTCATGAAAGAGTTAATTATGATAGCTGCACAGCGCATGTGGGCAATAAAAAAAAGAATACGCCATTCCTGTATTACAAGGCAAGTTATTCATCTTAAAAAAAAAAAAAAATGAAACGACGTAGAGGAAGGATCTGCCGGGAACGACGTAAAGCTTTAGGAAATGAAATTACGGCATTGACCAAGACAATGAAAAGTCGAATAGAAGAGTAAAAAAAAATAAGTACTTTAATGCCTTAGTAGTTAGTTTCTCAGACAATCAACACAAACGTTTTAAAGGTATTTAACAAAAAAAAAAAAGAAAAAAAAAAAGAAATGCGTTTCCGAGTTTACCCACGCAGCACCCAATGTCGTGCGAACATTCCCTGGGTGTTCTGAACGTTGAAGGAACGTTAAAACACCATTCGGAACGTTCTAGAAACGTTCGTATGCGAACATTCCCTACAAGGTAAGCTGCTCAACATTCTAGGAACGTTCGTTGGCGAACATTCGTATGTACAATGTTTTCGGAACATTCGCATTCGAACATTCATATGCGCAACATTCTTTGAATGTTCGCTCGCGAAAATTTATAGAATTTTCGCAGGTGAAGTCAACTTTACGGAGCTCTCACGCAGCCTGTGGTTCGAAACACCATTCACTATATGCCACTTTGTCCCAAAAACATGCAAATTAAGTGGAGTTTCTGGAAACTTAGCATAAGGGATCAGTTTTATATGAGTCTACCGAGGAATGCGATATAAGGTGTAGGAGAAAAGCAATGGTTTTCAAAACTTGATAATGAACTTGGCACTCACTGCGTATGTAGAGGTGCAGTTTTGAATAGACCCGATTTTTATCATGAGGGGTTTAAAACTTTGAAAACGGCTACATCGTGCAGTTAAATGTGGGATGCCATGTGTATCTGTTCTTAAGCTCGGAGTGAGTAGTCGGTTATGTATGCAGCACATTCTGAATGAAAAAAGTTGACAAGTGTCAGATAGGAGTAAATTGTCGTTAGTACATGCTCAGGCTAGTGCGCTAGGAAAGCGGGAATCTTGTTCCTGCGCCTTGTAAAATATGAAAAAAACTGTGAGTGCGCAGGCGAGCTGGTGGATGTTGATCATAATGTATAAAACCCGAGACTGTGGTAAAAGCAAGGAAACGGAGTCGAAGACGAAAAACAGGGGAAAAGAACGTCTCAACTGACGTTCTCCGTTTCCTTGCTTTTACCACGGTCTCGCGTTTTCTACATTATGTTGTAAAGTATCTTTCGATTAAAAAATATTGATCGCCCTGTGAGGAGCTTTACAGTATGGTTCATTGGTGCTGCGGCGAGATGTTTCGGTGGCGCCCTCGTTTGGTTACTTTTTGTGACGTCATTACCTTGTGAACAACAAGTTCGATGGTCTTCGTGGAAGCCTGAAATCATAGCGCTTTCCCTCAAAACTGAAGTTCTGACATTCCTCTTACTTCTGTCGATGATACACCCTTTGCTGACGTCATAGTCTGCATTCAGCCAATTGTGGTTTTTCTTTTCTTCAGAATAGATAACTGGAACACCGTAAGCATTATTCCATGAATGTTGATTTACTGTTCTGAGAATGTTCTGCAAACATTAGTCTGCTTTTCGAAACATTCTTAGAATGTTGTGAATGTTTATTCAATGTCCTTTCAACGTTCTGCAAACATTTCGTGGAGAATGTTCCCCAGATGTGACGGATAAGTCTCTATTCTACGCTCTATAAACATTTAGAGACCGTTGACAGATACATTCGCAAACTTTCCGAGAACGTTGCAAATGTTCATGCTAATGTTCTTGGAATATTCTTTAAATGTTTCTGTGCTACTTGAGTAATACAAAGGAGGGCATTACTAATGATAAGCAAGACCTTGCAAACCTGTTTAATACATTCTTCTCAAGTGTTTTCACAATAGACGATAATGAATCAATAGAATTTCAGTTGCCTAAAAACTTCCCGGACGCAGATGACTTGGCACTTTCAGTGGAAGGAATACTGACTATATTGAATCTATCAACTTCTAAGTCGATAGGTCCAGACGAAATTCCCAATGCCTCGCTAAAAAGATACACGGAATGGATGGCCAAATACCTCTTTGTAATTGTTAAAAAAATCGCTGGCAACGAAAACTTTTCTAGAGGACTGGGCAATGAGTAAAATAATTCCTATACCGAAAGGCAGCGAAGCAACATCTGTCTGCAACTATAGGCCCATTGCCTTAACTTCAACGACGTGCAAAGTTTTAGAGAATATAGTTTCCAAACATGTCAGATTCTTTCTTGTAACAAGTTTCTGAGCAATTATCATCGTGGGTTTCACGAGGGACTATGGACAGTGACCCAGCTCGTAAAAGCTGCGCATTATCTCTTTGAAGTGGCTGATGGTAGGAAACAATTAGATGTAATATATTGGGGCTTTAAGAACGCGCCTGATAAGTTCAGTCATAGAAAACTACTAATAAATTGAAATTTGTTTTAGTAGAACATTGTAACGTTTTTAGTTTGATCGATGAATTTCTTAATAATCGTAAGCGATTTGTAAGTAGTGACGAAAATTGGTCTAAAATACGTCATGTTGAGCCGGGTGTGCCACAAGGCTCGGTCTGGATCTAGATCTGCTGGCTATTCCCTTCTTAACGGGCGGAAACAGTACGGATTATCTTCGTGTGTGTCCTAGCCATTAATTGCCATTAGGAATGAGGAACTCCCGCTCCCCCGCAGGATTTCTTTCTCTAATTCTCCAGTCGTCGCTTTGTCGCCTTAATAACGTTCGCACCGTTCCCCCCTGCTGCCGCACCAGCCGCGCCCCCTGTATCACTGGCTACCATGTCTCCCTCTTGCGGTTGGCCAGCGAAACGGTAGTTGGGCCATTGTTTTTTTTGTTATATATTAACGACCTTATAGTTGTTCCGTATATTCAAGCGATATTGCTTACAGATGATTGTATTATTTATACCGGAGTCAAAGTGTCGACGATGAGATGAGTATTTGTCTAACATAAACGATTGGTGTACAAAATGGCGAATGTTGCTAAAAACGCCAAAAACCGTATGCATAACCATACCTCACAATCATCAACCTTTGGCGTTTAGCTACACACTTGAAGGAGTGACCTTAACCAATGTTACTAAATAAAAGTATATTGGTCTTACTCTAACTTCAGATCTCAAATGGGCAAAGAACGTTGAAAACGTTAGTGGCAAAGCTAAAAAAAAAAAAGGAATTATCGGACGAACTTTTCAGCTTGCTTCACCGGAAACCAAGCTGATCGCATACAAGATGTTAGTGCGCCCAATACTGAAATACGCGGGCCGTACGTAAAAAAAGAACTTCAGTTAAAATTGGGAAACGTGCAACGACGGGCATTGCGTTTCATATACTTTCGGTATCGGAGACGGGAATCGGTTTCACTATGTACAGCAGAGCCAATTTACCGATGCTCCAACTCGGCAGAAAACAAAAAAAAGTTAAATTTGTTTTTACAGCATTATTAACAATTTGGTTTTTGTTGACAAGCATCAATATATAAGTGAAGACATGTCGCGAATAACGAGGAATATAAACACGGAAGGTACGCGAAAGAAAGAAGGTCTAGTACGGATTCCTTTAGATACTCCTTTCTGCAGACAGCGAGGAGTTGGAACCAATTACCAGAAAAAGTTGCAAGTGCACGTAGCCGGGAGGAATTCGCATTTATTATTTCTTAACGTTTGATACCGGCAAGGACGGTGCTTTCCGCGTTAATATTGCGGGCATTGCACCCGTTTGATTTATGTATTTTGCATGTTTCGGTGCAGGGCAGCTGCACGGACGTGATTGTTGGGCTGTTCCACATACCGTGTCGACCCTAACAATAGACAGTTTTAGTATAGCGTTGCTGGCTCTTGCGTACGCAGTACGCAATAGTATAGCGTACGCTAAAATGACCTGCTCGGACCGAATTTAGTTGTGCGTTACGTTTTCGAGTGAACACCGCGCGTGATCTTGGTTACATTTGCTAGAGCCGTAGAATTCCGCGTGCTTATAGCGCAACCATGCTCCTGGAAAGAAATATTGAAAAAGAAAAAGTGTCCAATCATTTTATTTCAGATTAAACCAAGCCACACCTGCCTCGTCAAGCGCGCTTTTCTGCGGGGTACAGAGGCTACCAGTACGAGTGCGTAGCCAAATTCGAACACGGAGCCTCCGTCAGTCGTCCCGTGGAAACGGCACCTTTTATCAATGCTATCGCAGAATGAAATTCATGACCCTGATGTCCAGTGCATAGCGAGAACTTCGGCGATTTCTTTTAGAGTCGTTCGTCCGTCGGCGATGAACTGTGGGAATAGGCTTAGCGTTGAGCAGATCGCAGCGTCGACGCACACTGCGAGCGGCGAACATTTCCACTGTGCACTCCTTCAGCTGCAGGGCGATCTGATTCGACCGCGGTAAGTCCCAGAAAGAATCGCCGAGCTGAACACCACGCAATTTCACGTAACACAGAACTTCGAAAACACCACGTCGCCCTTGCTGCGCCAGTCGAGGTAACCGCCATCTTGAAACTGGCGCTCTCGTTGGGTCCGAGATCTCCCGAGAGCGTCCCGCAAGGCCCGCTAGCCAGCAACGCAAAATCCCCAGCGTTGCGTGCGTACGCAATACGCTTGCCCTTCTATTGCGTTCTGCGCATGCGCACTCACGACCCGCAATTTCCTTGCGTACGCAAAGCTATAGCGTACGGTCCACCAAAACTGTCTAATGTCTCCTGTCTTAGTCCCGCATAAGGGATGGATAGCGCGTTGAAATAAAATAAAGGAATGAAATGGTGTATACCTTGTCCTGGAAGATGACAGCGAAGACCCCGATGGCCAGCTCGCAGGCGAGGATGACGAAGAGGAAGGCAAAGTAGGTGCCCAGCAGGCAGCGGCTCTCCTTGATGGCCCCGCAGCAGCCGAAGAAGCCGATGAGCAGGACGAGCAGGCCCGTGCCCACCAGGGCGAAGGCCAGGTACTGCGGCAGCGCGTAGTTGTCGTCCACGCGGAACAGTCGGAACAACGTGGACCGGTGCTCGTCGATCAGCAGGTACGCGCCCAGGCCGATCAGGGCCAGCCCGGACAGCTGCGGGGCCCAAGAGCACATATCGTAAGCTGCGGACTGCGCCCGCGCTCAATCCGCGCTCAACGTGACGGCACCGAGCTCTCGACTCCGTTTCACTCCAAGTCGGACCGCAGCCGGACGACCCGACGGACCCAATCAAGTGGCATGTCAAAAGTGCATCGGCGCTAGCCGCATTTGTGCGCTTGGTATTATAGCGACTTGACCAGTCGTGGACAATGACTGCGCCGCTATCCTGAGCTTTTTTCGGAGCGTGGTTGGTTTAGCCAGTAATAGCATACCCAGAAAGCGTCGTGACGATGCACTTTTGACGCCGTTCGATGATTGGCTCCATCGGATGGCAGCGCTGGCTATTGTCGAACTTAAAATGCGGCCAGGTTCCTTAAATCGACCGCAAAATTCGGTTTCTTAACCTATCGTGCTACGATTTTGTGCAGCGTTGCCCACAGGTGGTGCATTCTTTTTTTATAAAATTTGCAAAGAGCGCGCTTACCTGAGGAAAAAATAAAAAAGAAAAAGTCTCGACTCGCATGGAAACGCAGCGGAACCACCGGTCTTAGGGCAGCCTATCGTTTGAAGACAGCCCCTCCGGCAAACTCCGGAGGGGCTGCACGGCCGAGCTCAGCGCGGCGCGCTCACTTCACGAGAGCACGCGATAGGCCTTTGGCCGATACCTCCTCGGCAGTAGCGAAACCTGGCCTTCTACGTCAGTACGCCGCAGACGAACTAAGGGAGCGGAAGAACCACATTCATGCTTTTGCATTCACAACTCAAAATGAAGTGCTTACGTGTCCCGGAATTTCTGCTTGTTTTTAGAGCGTGCACTCAAAAAATTCTGGCTCGTCTACTTTCTCGCAAAACATGCGCTGGACCCGCCACTGTGATCTACACTCCAGAAAGTCCAGTGCATCTACACTTCTGCAGTAGAAAACAAAAAGCACCACCCGTGGGCAACGCTTCACAAAATCGTAGAGCGATGGGTTAAATCCATTTTCGGCGTTCGATTTAAAGAGACTGGCCGTTATTTGAGGCACCCTGTATAGGCTGATATAGGTCCCGCTAGCAACGTAAAGCGTTTGCAAACGTTCCACGAAAAGTCTTTATCATCGCCCCTCAGCCAATCATTAAGTACAATTAGTCGAAAGTAACACAGAAAAAGGAATCATCAAGTAATGCTCAAGAAATAATAAGCCATTTCGGCGTTTGTATATTTCTTAAGCTGTAACTGCGATGAAGTAAAATTTAAAAAAAAGCGTACTTGGCGCTTCTTACAAGTGTACCGACATTTCTCGCTGCAATTTCTGCTGCTCGACAGTGCGTTGCGCATGATTGTGCGCAGCGGCAGAATGAACTGAGGGGCGCAATTTCGTTCCCGTGGAATGCGCTTCGCCATGCATGTAGGTTGTCGTTACTTGTCGAGGAAAGCACCGAGACACTTTACTTAAAGGCTGCAAAACAAAATTTCTGCGCGTTTACTTTTCGAAGGAGCACGTCGTGGGTCAATCGCTGCAGTCTGCGCAGCGCATCCAGTGAATGCGTCCTGACAGATGAACTGGCAAACACGCGTCTGCGCAGGGGTAATGCGCACGACGTTTTTGTTCGCTCATTGTTCTATGAGGAAAGAACTGTTTGCAACTCATTTCGGCGTCTAGTCATTGCTCCAAAATACGGTTTCCATGCACACGTTTCTGCAGAACACGCACGCGGAACCAGCTTAAAGGCTGGTTCACACGGCACCGTTTTGTCAAGTTGCGAAGCAGTAACGTACTTTTTGCGTCGAGATAAGACAACAAGACGTCATTACGAAGAACAGATGTGCCGGTGACTTGCCGTCGTACCTCGACGTAAGCGTACGCAAGCTCCGTAACGTCCGACAACGGTGCTGTGTAAGGTGGGCTTAAAGAAACACTCAAATAAAAAAAAATGTTATTGAAGGGCCTTATACTCGTCAGGAATGATAGTTTTTGAAGGGTCTTATCCCCTTCATTAATGTTTTTTTCTTAATTTTTCTTTAATTTTTTTTTGCGCAATATTTACGACGCAAGGCGCAAGTTAGGTGGCGTTCACCACCCACTCTGAACCCCGCCCACAGAGCGATGACCCCTCCCATTACATCTGGATGGGCTTGGCTGTTTGACTGAACACATTGGCAAGTCTAATGTCTCCTTCCAAAGTAACACAAAGCGGGCTCTGAAAGGGTCACACTCGGGTAGACCACGTGGGTTCAAGGTCGGGTTTGCATATCGGGTCCAAGAACCTAATTTCGTTCGGAATTATTTCATCATTTCACCTACGGTGTGTGTATTTCAGTGCATCACCCAAATTGAGCACTCATAACTTGTCTCGTGTACCTACTGAAAAAAAAATTACCATTTTGATAGATGAATAAAACACATTGAGCAAGATAGTGCAAAATTGGGCACTTAGAGTGAACAAATTAGAACAGAAAACGGTGCAGATTTCCATATAAAATCCTGTCGGATGGGAAATTGGGATACGTAGCCAGGTTGAGCCGACGACATTCGGAGAAGCGTGCTTGGAAGTCACCCTTAAACTCAATCATCCGCGTAAAAAATTCCACCCCACGTAAAACGGCCTCTTCAACATACGCGCCGAGTACAGTAACATCGTAATAAAGTTTTGCAGGTCTAAAATTTCTCTTTCGCGCCTAAAGTTACAATCCTACTGGTGATTTTGTATGATATGAAGTCGATCTCCTACGTTGAATTTCCAGAACGTGCAATCGCTAAAAGTGCAATGTCACGGCGTTTCTCTCATTCTTCCCAGCATGTCCTCTCATTGACTAAATCAATCAAGCGCAGTTAATGTGGCGCGAAAGATTTAGTTCGTCTTTTCTTATTTTTTTTTATGGATTTCATAGTCACTGCTACTTTGAGAAACGAAGAGTATGGTAAGCCCCAGGCATCGGTTCGTAGCCAATGGGAGTGAGGCTTTAGCCGATAGAAGAACACCCAATAACCAATCACGAGGAAAGGAATGTGAACAGCCACACCCTGCCGCGCTTCTTAAGATGTAAGTGACCATAATAGATTCCACAGATAGCAGATAGCTTATCAAGTGTTTAGAGAGGAAAGCTTCGAGGTTTACAGCTCGATACCTTTCTTTCTTTCTCTTTTTTTTTTTTTTTTTTTCTTCTTAAAGTTAGGACCTCTTCTGAAGTGTGCGGGTAGCCAGAACTCTAAAATTTCTTCTAAGGCACAAAATTGTAGACTAACTTGACAGAGGTGCAAAAGAAAGCTTTTGAACTTTTATTTTTTTAATTAAAGTACTTCTTTACTTTTTAGAATGATGAGAACTGGAATTTCGTCAGCACGCGGCGCTAGCGCGAGCTACGAACGCATAATGTTACCATCGACTTGCGTCAACACAACCTTACATGAGCGTATCCCGGAGGACCTGGCTGAAAGAATGCTACCACCGAGATGCATTCTTTCTAACGGCGGAATCAATTTATCGATCCATCGAGAGTTCCCGCGCTTTCTCGCACCGGCGAGAGGAAGCTCTTTTGGGACGCGCTTGGCAACTCGAGCTCCTGGTCAGTTCGCCACAAGAAAAAAGGTGTGAAAAAAAAAAAAAAACGTTACACACACACAAAAAAAAGAGAGAAATAGTAGCATTACAGGCATAAAGAAAATGAAAGACGTTTACTGAACTCTTTTAATGCGAAATTAGAGCGCAGCTCTTGAGGAGGAGGAGGAAGGGAGGGTGCGGAAGGGAGGGTATGCCCCTCCGTTCCGTACCCTTCCCTCCCCCTCCTTAACCCGGTAAACTTAGCGAGGGAAATTCCCCGCTAGATTTAGCGGGAAAATTGACGTCACGTGACCTCAACACCAATTCAGTTTCCCCGCTGAATTTAGCGGGGAAAATGACGTCAAATGACTTCGTGTCACGTAACCTATGAACAAATTCAATTTCTCCGCTAGATTTAGCGGGAAAACTGACGTCACGTGACCTCAACACCAATTCAATTTCCTGCTAAATTTGGCGGGGCGGTTACGCCGACGGTGACGTTGCGAAACGCGGAAACGGGAGCCTAAAGGCCCGTTGACATTCTTGCGACCGAGTAAGACCGAGAGATACCAGACCGGTTTTTAAGCCTCTTGCGATCTCTTAGGACCAGCTCCGCTGAAGCGCATCCGGTCCTATGAAGTCGCCAAAGGCTTAAAAACCGGTCTGGTCTCTCTCGGTCTTACTCGGTCGCAAGAATGTCAACGGGCCTTAAGAGCTACGCTCTGAAACAAAACACAAATAGTGTTACCCGCAAAAAAAACAAAACAACAACAACAAAAAACAGGGGGTTTATTGTCTTGCAGAGTGACTGCGTTGCTCTGCACATTAAAAAAATAAAGTCTGTAAGTTCTCTTTTCTGCAGAACACGGTGGAAGCCAATCAGGGCGAACATTAGAAAGACTTTAGCGATTGACGATGCACGAAATACGATTAGGTCCACAAAATGCGATGTGAGCGCAGTGACACTGAGCGAATGAAACGCCACTGTGATTGTCCCTGCGAGCATCGCATTTTTTATGGTCCAATTATATTCAGAGCTTCGGCATTCGCTGAAGCCCTTCTACTGTTCGTCGTGATTGACTACCTGTCTCCTTGAACTCCACAAAAGTGAATTCTCAAACGTTTTTTTTTTTCCTTTTTTTACAGCGTGCACTCAAAAAAGTTTGGCTCGTCTACTTCCTCGCAAAACATGCACAGAACGAATCACTGTGATCTACACTCCAGAAAATCCAGTGCATCTACACCCCTGCAAAGCAGCTGGAAGAGCCAATCGCTGCATTCTGCGGAGGGAGCTTGAAGAATGACACAGTTGAAAAGTCGTTCCCAACAGAAAGCGGTCTGCGCTGTGACAGAGAGCAAGAAGTAAACACGTCAAACGCCCGGCTCAATGTGACAACACAGTTCGTATTTTTTTTTTTTAATTTTTATGTCGACACATTTTTTGCATCATCGTTCGCCGAGCCCTCTTCACA